ACCTGTGAAAGTGCACATCTCTATAATGTACAGAAAGTACCAACTAATTTCTGTTCAACTGCACTGTTGGGAAATTTCCACTTGATCAACACTGCAAGCTATTGCCTGTAATGCTGATCTGTGTTTTCTGAAGGTGGGGAAGTCTTCCCACTGTCAGAATACAAAGACCCAGTGGGGAGGATACCCCCCATCCACCTCGAAAGTGTGGATGGGAGAATCACGTCACTTTTTGACCATTGCTTGAGCAAAAAAAAAACTGACTCATCTATGGCCAGCCTAACTGTATGTAAGCAACTCTCACTATCAGCAGTGGTGACACTGCAGTGGGGAAGGGGGCAGTTAGTAGGATCCAGTACTTTCCTGAAGTGTTGCATTCATATTAACTTTGAATAATTATTAATATTCTCCTGTATCCTCCTCATATGCCTGTGCAACTAATTTATTTCTACTTCTCAGGTGGAAAACTGTTGTCCAAAGCAAACAGGTTCTATGAATAGTATGTTAAATTGTCACTGAAAAAACTTACATACCTACATGTAAAATGGATTAAATTAAACCATTGGGCACACATTATAAAAAAAAAAAAAGACCAAATCATATTCAAGCATAGCTATCATAGTTGTTCTTGCAAACTGTTGGAGTACAGTTTTATGCAACAACTACATCAGTATTCAGTAGAGATATATTCTTCAACCAGTAGATGGCAGTGTTTATAAGTTTGCAGCTGCATCTATGGTATACTCTATGTCTTTTCTCTGAATAAAGTTTCCTGTTTTCCTGGTTGCAGTGAAGCAGAAAAGCACACGTGGACTGTGCACTGTCTGTTCTGTAGGGCTATATACAGAATTTCTCACACAAACAAAAAATGAAAAACAAACTGTACATGTGCCTATTACAGTCAGGTCCATAAATATTGGGACATTGACACAATTCTAACATTTTTGGCTCTATACACCACCACAATGGATTTGAAATGAAACGAACAAGATGTGCTTTAACTGCAGACTGTCAGCTTTAATTTGAGGGTATTTACATCCAAATCAGGTTAACGGCGTAGAAATTACAACAGTTTGCATATGTGCCTCCCACTTGTTAAGGGGACCAAAAGTATTGGGACAATTGGCTTCTCAGCTGTTCCATGGCCAGGTGTGTTATTCCCTCATTATCCCAATTACAATGAGCAGATAAAAGGTCCAGAGTTCATTTCAAGTGTGCTATTTGCATTTGGAATCTGTTGCTGTCAACTCTCAAGATGAGATCCAAAGAGCTGTCACTATGAATGAAGCAAGCCATCATTAGGCTGAAAAAAAAAAACAAAACAAACCCATCAGAGAGATAGCAAAAACATTAGGCGTGGCCAAAACAACAGTTTGGAACATTCTTAAAAATAAGGAACGCACAGGTGAGCTCAGCAACACCAAATGACCTGGAAGACCACGGAAAACAACTGTGGTGGATGACCGAAGAATTTGTTCCCTGGTGAAGAAAACACCCTTCACAACAGTTGGCCAGATCAAGAACACTCTCCAGGAGGTAGGTGTATGTGTGTCAAAGTCAACAATCAAGAGAAGACTTCACCAGAGTGAATACAGAGGGTTCACCACAAGATGTAAACCATTGGTGAGCCTCAAAAACAGGAAGGCCAGATTAGAGTTTGCCAAACGACATCTAAAAAAGCCTTCACAGTTCTGGAACAACATCCTATGGACAGATGAGACCAAGATCAACTTGTACCAGAGTGATGGGAAGAGAAGAGTATGGAGAAGGAAAGGAACTGCTCATGATCCTAAGCATACCACCTCATCAGTGAAGCATGGTGGTGGTAGTGTCATGGCGTGGGCATGTATGGCTGCCAATGGAACTGGTTCTCTTGTATTTATTGATGATGTGACTGCTGACAAAAGCAGCAGGATGAATTCTGAAGTGTTTCGGGCAATATTATCTGCTCATCGTCAGCCAAATGCTTCAGAACTCATTGGATGCCGCTTCACAGTGCAGATGGACAATCACCCAAAGCATACTGCAAAAGCAACCAAAGAGTTTTTTAAGGGAAAGAAGTGGAATGTTATGCAATGGCCAAGTCAATCACCTGACCTGAATCCGATTGAGCATGCATTTCACTTGCTGAAGACAAGACTGAAGGGAAAATGCCCCAAGAACAAGCAGGAACTGAAGACAGTTGCAGTAGAGGCCTGGCAGAGCATCACCAGGGATGAAACCCAGCGTCTGGTGATGTCTATGCGTTCCAGACTTCAGGCTGTAATTGACTGCAAAGGATTTGCAACCAAGTATTAAAAAGTGAAAGTTTGATTTATGATTATTATTCTGTCCCATTACTTTTGGTCCCTTAACAAGTGGGAGGCACATATGCAAGCTGTTGTAATTCCTACGCCGTTCACCTGATTTGGATGTAAATACCCTCAAATTAAAGCTGACAGTCTGCAGTTAAAGCACATCTTGTTTGTTTCATTTCAAATCCATTGTGGTGGTGTATAGAGCCAAAAATGTTAGAATTGTGTTGATGCCCCAATATTTATGGACCTGACTGTATGTAGCAGCAAGTGAGAGAAACCACAGCGCTCAGTTATCTTGCATACCCTGAAATATCTTACACTAGCAGCGCCCAAATTAAATCCAAAAACAAAAATGTAATATATTGCATCTTAACAATCCTTAAGATATCATTCACACGGGGTCTACCAATTTAAATACCTGTGCATCAGCCACATGGGGTGCACAGGTGTTCCATGCAGGCAGCCACAAGTCATGTGTGCACAGATCAGAACACAGTCTGTCTGACCCATGCACGGGATTTCCTAAATTTTTTTTTTAAATTCTGTCTCTCAGAGTGGGAATGCACCTACAATGTGAATTTCAGACCCCTCCATGATTTCTAAGTGGGAGAACTTGCAAAATCGCAGGGTGTTCAAATACTTCTGTTCCTCACTGTAACTCTGGAGGAGCTGCAGAGATCCACAGCTCAGGTGGGAGAATCTGTCCACAGGACAGCTATTAGTCATGCACTCCACAAATCTGGCCTTTATGGAAGAGTGGCAAGAAGAAAGTCATTGTTGAAAAAAGCCATAAGAAGTCCTGTTTGCAGATTGCAAGAAGCAATGTGGGGGACGCAGCAAACATGTGGAAGAAAGTGCTCTGGTCAGATGAGACCAAAATTTAAGTTTTTGGCCTAATAGCAAAAGGCTGTGTGTGGCAGAAAACTAACACTACACATCATCCTGAACACACCATCCCCACCGTGAAATATAGTGGTGGCAGCATCATGTTGTGGGGATGCTTTTCTTCAGCAGGGACAGGGAAGCTGGTCAGAGTTGATGGGAATATGGATGGAGCCAAATACAGGACAATCTTAGAAAAAAACATACAGCCAGAGCTACAATTGAATGGTTTAGATCAGTGGTCTCCAAACTGTGGCCAGGGGGCCAGATGCGGCCCTTTGCTTGCTTTTTTATCTGGCCCTTGGAGCACTATTTCATCCACTGACACCAACATTGGGGCATAATTCACCCCAACTGACACCAATGAAGAGGCACAATGCCTCCCAATGGCACCAACAATGGGGCATAGTTCCGCCCAATGATACCAACAATTGGGCCCAATAACACCAATGATGGGGCACAATTCATCCCAATGACGCCAGTGATGGGGCACAGTTCCTCCCAATGATGCCAGTGATGGGGCACAATTCTTCCCAATGACACCAGTGATGGGGCACAGTTCCTCCCAATGATGCCAGTGATGGGGCATAATTCTTCCCAATGACGCCAAGGATGGGGCACAGTTCCTCCCAATGACGCCAATGATGGGGCACAGTTCCGCTCAATGACACCATCAATTGGGCCTAATAACACCAATGATGGGGCACAATTCCTCACAATGACACCAATGATGGTGCATGATTCCTCAGTGACACAACAATGGGTCACAGTTCCTCTCATTACCAAAAATTGGGCATTGTTTGCTCCCACTGATGCCAGGACATTTTCTACTCCCAATGTCCACAGTCTGGCCTCCCTAAAGTCTGAAGGACAGTAAACTGGTCCTTTGTATAAAACGTTTGGAGACCCCTAGTTTAGATAAAAGCATATTCATGTGTTAGAATAACCCAGTCAAAGTCCAGACCTAAATCCAATGGAGAATCTGTGGCAAGACTTGAAAATTGCTGTTTACAGATGCTCTCCATCCAATCTGACAGAGCTTGAGTTATTGTGCAAAGATGAATGGGCAAAAATGTCACTCTAGATGTGCAAAGCTGGTAGAGACATTCCCAAAAATCTTGCAGCTGTAATTGCAGTGAAAGGTGGTTCTACAAAGTATTGACTCGGGGGGCTGAATACAAATGCACGCCACACTTTTCACATATTTATGTCAAAAATTTTGAAAATCATTTATCATTACCCTTCCACTTCACAATTATGTGCCACTTTGGGTTGGCCTATCACATAAAACCCCAATAAAATACATTTACGTCTCTGGTTGTAACATGACAAAATGTGGAAAATTTCAAGGGGTATGAATATGTTAAGGCACTGCGTGTGTGTATGTATATATATATATATATATATATATATATATACACATACACACACCTTTTTTTTTGTAGACCGATTGCTAGCATATGCTCAACATTCAGTGTCCAGTCAGCTGTAGCAGGGCATGGTTACATGAAGTCCTGGAGTTCTGGACGCTGTACCGCTACTGACCACTAGGCGGCACACAACACCTACCACAATCTAGGCGAACGGCTCCCGCTCCTGAATTAAAGCTCTGTATAAAACACAAGTAAAATACCCGTGAATGCATTGCTTGGTCTATTTTGCTAACAAATGAATCTGATCTCCTTGGGTTTCTACCCATTCTACTTCATAAATTTAAAATACAAGTTAAAAAGGGAAACAATGCCATCAAGAAATGTGGCCGCCCGTGTCCTTTACGTCATTAGAATGCTACCAATCACAGCTCTGGGTTGTGATATCCGGTCAGTGGCAGCGGAAGTTGGCGTCTGTGGTGGAGCGCAGAGAGGGATTTGACAGGTAACGGCTGGAATTGGGTTTGGTAGGTTGTTTTGATGTGGAAAGTGTTGTGATTGGTCAGACAATGGTGAGAGGCGAGGAGGAGGATGTTCTGTTTGTAGGGATGATCTGTGTGCGGTGCTCGGTGGTCAGTAGGCGCACTTCATATGTAGGGGTGCTCTGAGCACTGCTGCCTTGTATATAGACTGGATCAGTGATCTCCATACTTGTCTTTAGTGCACACTGCCGGACACATCATCATGAGCATGGATGGGGCCGTTTGTATTGCATTGCAAAATGATAATTATACAGTACATCTTTGGAATACATGCACATTTCCCATGTTTTATGTATTTATACATACTGCACGTACAGGAAATGAATGTGCCAGAAATGTTTGTGGGATTTAAAAGAGATATACAACCAAAACTTTTTTGGCTGTTCTTGTGGATCATAGGAGTGCAATTCGTTCTGCACTTCATTGATCTGTTCTGAGCTGACAGCGGACTGAAGTCTGCTGTCATCACTCAGCCAGTCCAGGATCATTAAAGTCGGGATCAGGGGCGGACTGACAACTCATGCGGCCCCTGGGCAATAGGGGATCATGGGGCCCCTGTGTCCTTGCCCAAACTCAAAAAAGCCTATGAAAAAGGTACCAGGGGCATCTCATGGGGCCCCCTACTGACCTTGGCCAGTGCTCAAGTTTCCAAATAGTCGGCCTGCCCCGGTCGGGATCCACCCCATAGTCTGGAGCAGGGTTGGACTGACAACTCATGGGGCCCCCAGGCAATAGGGGATCATGGGGCCCCTGTGTCCTTGCCCAAACTCAAAAAAGCCTATGAAAAAGGTACCAGGGGCATCTCTTGGGGCCCCCTATTGACCCCGGTACCTCGGGCAAATTACGAGTTTCCAAATGGTCAGTCCACCCCTGGTCTGAAGTGGCACCTAGCTCAGCCTCTCAGCGAGCCACTGAGATCCTGAGCCAGTTGCTCCCTCCCCCTCCACAGCCCAGTGCTCCATTGAGCATGGGGGGGGGGGGGTTCAGAGCAGATAGCGGTGACTGACAGTCACCACACTGCTCAGAACAGCTGTGAGAACTCAGTGGCCATGTGATCAGCAATCAATGTGAGTTCTCACCCTCAGAGCCGGCGGGGGACAGATGCAGCATCAGACCGATGCTGCATCCACCTTGGTAAGTATAAATGGGGAAAAAAAAGCCTACTTCTCTTTTTAATGCACAGAGAAAAATGCTCCAACTCCTATGTGTAGCCTTTGTTAGCATTTTATGTATCAGCCAGTAAGGGCTCATGCACACAGCCATATCTGGCCATATAGTGTAAATCCTGGTGTTTTCCTTACTAGGAAGCCCACAGGTGCTGCCTATAGAAGTCAGTGGTTGTACACCCGTACACATACATGTGTTCATTGACTAATGCAGGCCATACATGGGTCGAATTCCAAACTAATTTTCTTTAGAAAATCGGAAATTTAGTGCGTTCTGTAATCCGATGGCACCACCATTGATTTCAAAATTCAACCAATCACGCCTTCAATTTCACTTCATGCTGCTACAGAAAAGAATTTTCGTGGGCAAGAATTTTCTTTTCTTTCCAGGTCACAGCTCATGCTCATTTCTCTTTGTTTATATTTCCCACATGATTCTCCCATCATTGATTCAAAATTTGTTTCGTTTTTAAAAAAATTTCCAACATGCCCGATCACTCAAATTCGATGCTCACACGAAAATCGGCCGTTTCTGTGACCCACTAAGGCAGGCCATAGACGTGGAGAAAATCAGCCATTTTTTTAAAAAAAATCGTAAATCGGTCGTTCAGACGGCCAACGTTGCCACTAATTAAGAAAAAAAGTCGTCAGGTTTTAGTCACGCCTACGGCTGTCAATTAATATAATAGTGGTGTCCCTGCATAAAGACCCGCTATTATATTTGGCAGAAGAAATAGATTATGCAGAAGAAGAAGAGAAACAACATTGCATCTATTTGTACTTGAATAGAAACATCGGTATCTGAAATGCATACAAATAGATACAATGTTGCAACTTTTTTCTTCTCTATCTTCCTCTGCAAAATCTATTTCATCTTCTCCTTATTTCTTCTGTTCTTCTTCTTGATATTCTATTTCTTCTTCTCCTGCAAAATCTATTTCTTCTATTACTTCTTTTTCTTCATAGTCAATTTATTGTCAAATCGGCCAGAAGAACGGCCGATTTGACCATAAATTACCGCGAAAATCAGCCGATCTAACAAATCGTCCCAGGATTTTCCAGCATGGGCGATTTTCAAAATCTCTTAAAATTAAGAAAAACGGCCGACATTTTTCCACACTAACGATACAAATATCGGCCAATTTTTTTATTGGCCGATAGTTCGGCAAGAAAATCGGAAATCTATGGCTTGCATAATGGTGCGCAATTCGAACAAAAATTCTTAGAAAAGATTTTCTAAAGAAAATTATTTCGGAATTCGACCCGTGTATGGCCGGCTTTAGGCTGCATTTCCCATGAGCACTGTGTAGCTTGAAGCTCCAAAAAAGGTCAAACTTTAAAAAAAGAATTTATTCTCTATGGTGCCTGTTCTGATCGCACGAACAGGCATCATAGAGAACAGTTGATTTTTTTAAGTTTGAGCTTTTTGGGGGCTTCAGGCTACAAAATGCTTAAGTATGAATTTCTGTATGGAATGCATCTAACACACGGCAAAATGCATGTAAATCGCTCCAAACACGTACTGTAAACACACCAGAACACCTATGTTCTAAATTGAGATAAAGAAATAAGGGAGGAAAAATCACCGGAAAGCATAAAAAAAGCATGTAAACACACATGCAGAAGCACATCCAGAATGCAGAAATTATGGTGTGAGTAGGTCCTCACACTAGGTGCAGAGACACGTTTTTCTGCACCTGTTTCTGTAAGAGCACAAAGAAAACAATGATTCTTTATGTGTACTGTTCACACCTGAACACTGGTATTGTGCATATTTCTGCAACATGTATGCAGTTTTCTGTGCAGAAAAAAAAAGTCACATGACATCAACATTGTGGTATGAACAAGGTACATTGAGTACAATTGTTTTCTTTGTGCCATTGCCGAGCACTTCATAATAAATATGAACTTCTCTGTACATGTGTGAAAAAACCTATAAAGGTTGAATCTGCGCTCTTTTTCCATCAGTTTCTTATATGCATATAATGTGAACGAAGCCTTAAAGTGTAAGGTGGGTGTGTACCTTCCCAGTAATGTAAATGGTATCACTTTTACAAAACAGCGAATCGCAAGCTGAAAAAGGAATACCAAGATCAGAGCTGCAGCTGATTTTGTGCTGCAGAGACTGTACCTGGATTGCATGTCAACAAAGGAGCAGAGCTGGCCTGTAAGCTACGACTGCATTGGACCCAGCACATAGGTACTTGATGCAATGCGTACCTCACAACTGGCCAGGAATCCTAGTGGTATCCAAGATGGACCTTACATCCAGTGTTAGTTAGCCCTGTTTTTGGCAGCCTTATGCTACTGCATAGATGGAATGTTAATAGCTTACCTGTAAAGTGGCTATTACCTAAACTAGATGTGTTTTCAGAGTTAGCAGCCCTGTTTTATAGGGAACTGGCTTCCATGTAAATTACAATATTAAGTTACCCACCATTTGCCTTTCTGTCCACTGTTTGGATGTGATATGAGTTGTGTGAGTTTACATTGTGGCTATGGCCTTCATCAGGAATTTGGACTCGTTCTCTAGTTTGCCTGAGGGGGCCTAAAAAGATTTTTCTGTCTCTCAATATAAGATTGCTGGGTGCATTTGCCAGACCATATCACAGGCCTATTCTATCAAGGGTAATGAGCCTCCCTTCTTAAAAAGAGAAGTATGGGAGTTAGTTTTTTAAAGAAATCATACTTGCCTAGGTGGATGCTGTCAGCAACCACTTTCTGCTCTGCTCCATCAGCAGCCCCCCCCCCCCCCCCGTGGAGGGGGAGGAAGCATCTGACTCAGCCTCTCAGTGGATTGCTGAAAGGCTGAGCCAGGTGCTAGTTCAGACTGGGGTGGATCCTGACTTTAAAGTCGGGATCTTTTCCCAGCCTGGACTGGCTGAGTGATGTCAGCTGATAGCGGGATTCAGCCTGCTATCAGCTGAAAATGGGTCACAGGAGTGCAGGAGGAACTGCACTCCTGTGATCCACAGGAGAAGCACAACCAAAAGAGCCTTGGCTGCACTTCTCCTTTTTAATTAAGGTTCATTCTACTAGATCTGTTGGTATATCTTGGACGTTTCAACATCACGCTTCTGTTACTCAGCTTTGCAAGGCAGCCAACTGGTTTTCTGTGCATTCATTTGCTAAGTCTTACCAGTGGGATATTTGGGCTTTGGCTAATACCACTTTTGGCCACAAAGTTTTAGAGGCCAATGGTTAATCTCAGTTTAGCCTTTGTTTGTTAGACCTTTTTTTTTCTTGAGGGACTGTTTGCTAAATCTTTATGATTACCAGCTTGTGTCCTGTACTGTACTATAAAGAAAATGGCATGTTTTACATTCCTGTAAAATCATTTTCCTTTGAGTAAAGTACTGAACACAGGATCCTCCCCTCTGTGTTTTTGGCCCTTCATTGCTTGCTACAAAGTTGTGGATCACATGGTGGGAGGGATAATATGAAGGACTGCATCAAAGCTCTGAGTGGCTTTGCCAGTGTCCAGTCACCTGAAGGTGGAGCATAACCAATCCATTATGATTACCAGCCTGTGTCCTGTACAGTACTCCAAGATAAGTATTTTACAGCTATGTAAAAAAAAAAAATCCAATTTTCCATAGCTACAATGTTGTTTTCTATAATGTGATTTTATTATATTCCTTTGCAGCAATGACGTGCACCATAGACAAGATCTTACAAGATGCCAAAACTTTGTTAGAGAGACTGAAGGATCATGACAATGCTGCAGAGTCCTTAATTGAACAGTCTAGCTCTCTACATAAGCGGGTGGAATCCATGAAAGAGGTTGGGACAACACTACCAGAAAAGGTAGACAATTTTTCTTTTGCAGCTTAATGTATAGAGACTTTATTTTTGTTTTCAGATGTGCCTGTTTAAACAGGTCTGTTAGATGTCAGTCTTTTCAGTGTGTGTTAAAGGAGAAGTTCACCTTTGGAACATGTTACATTTTTAGGGTGGAACATATAACATGTTTCCCTAGCTGCAGCCACGCCTGCACGGCCATGTCACTCACTCACTGAGTTCTGTAAATGTGTGCCTACATGTCCCAGCAGCCTTAGCAGCAGTCGGCTTGTAGTTTTCAATTAACTACCACGGTGCTGTGGAGCACCATGGTAGTTCATTCAACATTCAAGTTTCCTGTCAGAATATCTGCTTGGCCATACATCCCGTACGGCAAGCAGATATTCTGACAGGTCTGCAGGAGACCTGCATGGCATCAGAAATCTATTGATCGTTGGTGCAATGCTTTCCAGGCTCTTTTGGACAAAAATAATAAATGCACTTTTTTTTTACCTGCAAAAAAAAGTGCATTTTTATTATTTTTGTCCAAAAGGTGAACTTATCCTTTTTAATGTTTTAAAACATGTATTTCTAGATATACAAACGGTATATTTTGTAATTGTATATGCTCACATGGTCTGCATTATTTTCCTATTGACATACACAGGCTATGCCTCCAACTTTGCAGTGCTGCAAAGTAGTTCTGCTTTACTGCTCGTTTACACAGTGCAAACACAAATCTTTGGGGATAGGCTGTTCACTTTGCAAGAGAATTTTCTCTTAGCTTAGTGAATGAGGTGAAGCCGTGCTGACTTCCACCATCCAAACCTGTGCAAGCAAAAATACTGTTTTTTTGTTTTTTTTTTTTTTTTTTTTTTAAATTTTCCTTAATTGGTTATTCCTTCCTGAGTTTTCACCATGTTTTTAAACAAAGGGAAATTTCACTGAGAAGTGAACAGCCTTTTTTGCCTATAGTAAATAAACTCTTATGAGTCCTTGAAGACGATGATTGCCCTAAGATGGTTTTAATGCTCACTCAGCAGTTTGCAAGAAGGAAAGTGGTGTGATTTAATGTCTTTAGTAGTGCAAATATGTAGAGTGTATTTCTCAAATGTGTAGCGTGTATGGTTACATCTAAGCCAGATAAAGTGTATTTAAAGCCAAAACTATTTTTTTGTTTTGTTATCTATAGTGAATAGTGTAGGGCAGTGATCTCCAAACTGTGGCCTGAGGACTGGATGCGGCCCTCTGTTAGCCTTTTTTCGGCCCTTGGGACACTATTCCTCCCAATGAAATGAAGCACTATGCCTTCCACTGACACCAACAGTGTGGCATAGTTCCTGCCACTGCCACTAATGATGGCTCATAATTCCACCCACTGACACCAACACCTGGCACTATTTCTTCCATTGATGCCAATGACGGGGTACTATTACTCCCACTAAGACTAATGATGGGGCACTATTCCTCCTACTGACCACCAACCCTGAAGCCATGTTTATTCTCACTGATGCTAGGCATTTTCTATTCCCACTGGACAAAATTCTGCCCCCATAAAGTCTGAAGAGCAGTAAACTAGTCCGTTTGGATACCCTTGGTGTAGGTCAATGTTAAACCATTTGTAAAATTTGTATTGGCATTACTTGCTTCCATGTCCAAGTTCACTTTCATTCCTGACGTTATTCAGTTGTTCTCTTTAACTAGTGATGAGCCAATTGTACTCTCTGGTGAAGGTTTATAGTGGATCAATGAGACAGCTGAATGTGGCACAGAACTAAACTGAAAATGTAAAGTAAATGACTTTATACTTTCTTTTTTTTTTCCCTACAGTATCAAGAAGACTTGGCAGAGTTAAAAGATGCTTCAAAGTACAAACCACATGTGCTTTTATGTCAAGAAAATACTCAAATAAGAGATCTTCAACAGGAAAATAAAGGTAATGTAAAGGTTTCCAAGCTCATATTTCCTGGTTTCTTGAAATGTCAATCCATATCCTCGAAAATCACCAGTGGGTCTGCATGATTTTCAACTGTGAGCAATGATTAAACAGCTTGAGTCTGAAATCTTGGCAAATCTAGAATGCAGCCAGTGAAATTTGGAAAGTTTAAATTGTTATACTAAAGTTTAAGAGACCCTTTATAATGAAGCCATAATCCAGGGGGAAGACTTGCAGGCCTGTCATGTTTTAAAGGATAAGTTCACCTTTTAACAAAAAATAATAAATGCACATTTTTGCAGGTAAAAAAAAAAATGTGCACTTACTACTTGGGAGCCTGGAAAGGATCGCTGATGCCATGCAGGACTCCTGCAGACCTGTCAGTGTATCTGTGTGCTTGTACCTCATATGGGCAAGCAGATACACACTAACAGGAAGAATCAAAGAACTACCACAGCACTCAATAGCGCTGTGGAAGTTCATTGAAAACGACAAGCCGACAGGAGCAAAGGCTCTCAGAGCTTGTAGTTTTCCCATTCACAGAATAATGTGAATGAGTGACATGGCCTGGCACGGCCGTGTGTTTTAAACGTAAAGCTGAACTCCAGTAAACAGCTAACTATATGGTTGAAATACTATATATATATATATATATATATATATATATATATATATATATATATATATATATATATATATATATTTTGGCTTTAGTGCAAAACCCCAGTACATAGAGAACATCATGCCCATAGTGGACCATGGTGGCAGTAATATCATGTTGCAGAGGAGTGCTAGAAGTTGTAGGGACTAGGTAACTTGTGATTAAGAGAAAGATGGATAGAGCCAAATATAAGAAGTACAGAAGAAACAAGAGCACCACACTGCTTGTTGGGAGCCAAGAGGCAGAGTGTTGGACTTGATATGGTTAAAGTGGTTGTAAACCTCTGATATGGAAAATGAACATAGCATAGCATTCCATAGTGTTCACTTACCCCTATGCAAAGCACCTAGTGTTTTTTTATGTTGCCTCTCTTATTTCTCTGCTTTCTGCATAAGTCACTTCTGACAATTTGTGCAGACACCAGATCCGAGATGTCTGTTGTGATGTGTTGGGCAGGCCAATACAAATGAATTGAATTCCTAATGAAATGCTTGTTAATGCACTGCACTGCTGTAAATGGGCTCCAAGTGAACAGCCTCTACTTAACCACTAGCCTACAAGACACTTATACTCCTTCCTGCCCAGCCCAATTTCCAGCTTTCAGCGCTGTCACACTTTGAATGACAATTGCGCAGTCATGCAACATTGTACCCATATGAACGTTTTATCATTTTTTTTGAGACAGATAGAGCTTTCTTTTGGTGGTATTTAATCACCTCCTGGGATTTTTATTTTTTCTTAAACAAACCAAAAACCATTGAAAATTTTGAAAAAAAAAAGTTTTTTCTTATTTTTTGTTATACAATTTTGTAAATAAGTGATTTTTCTCCTTCACTGATGTGCGCTGATGAGGTGGCACTGACTGGCACTGATAGGCGGCACTGATAGGTGGCACTGATTGGCATTGATAGGTGGCACTGACTGGCACTGATGGGTGACATTTAAAGGCAGCTCAGATGGGCACTGATATGTGGCATTGATGTGCACTGGTATGCACTGATATGTGGCATTGATGTGGCACTGATGGGCACACTGGCACTGACAGGTGGCACTTCTGGGGCCACACTGATCATCAGTGCCCTGATGATCTGTGTAGATGTTCCCTCCGCGGAAAGCCGATTACCGGCTCTCCTCTCCTCTCCTCTCTAACTGTCAGTGAGACAGCTCGAGAGGAGAGAAATGCCGATAACCGGCATTTCCGTGTTTACATGTGATCAGCTGTGATTGGACACAGCTGATCACATGACCGAGCTGTCATCTTTGGCTCTTTCCGTGTCCCTCGGACACAGCGGACCGGCGATCGCCGCGCTGTGCGCTCCCTGAGCCGCGCGTGCGCAGTGAGAATGGTAGGACGTCATGTGACGTCCTATCAGAACGAGAGAACCACCTTGTGCTTGTCATTGTACTATAGGGCGGGCGGAAGGTGGTTAAAGTGACACTATAAAGGTAATGTTTATAATGAAAATAACAAACCTGTTATACTCACCTGTGCTGTGCAATTGTTTTGTACAGAGTGGCCCTGATCCTCCTCTTCTCGGGTCTCCCACCTGGAGATATTGGCTCCTTCTCTTCTTTGAGTGCCCCCATAGCAAGCAGTTTGCTATGGGGGGCACACAGTACATGCTTCCCCTGAGCTGCGTGTGTCTGTCGAGCCGTGCTCCATGAATTCCCCCCCCCCCGGGCTCCTCCTCACTGTATTTGAGTGCTGCTGCTCGAGTCCTGTGTGATGAGGAAGAGAGGGGAGAAGAGATGCAGCTGTGCACAGCGCTGGATCTCTTCCCTCACCCTCAGCTTGTTCAATTAAGCTTTGGCAATAACACCTGGAAGCTGACTGACTTCTATGCAGAAGTGAGCCTGATTTTGCATGCTCCACTTTTAGTAACTAAACCCCTGTGTTCCATGGTTCCATAACCACCTTCTCGAGTCCTTTGCACCATGACCCACACAAATTGGAGCATGCAAAAGAAAATGGCACAACAAAGAACTATTTCACTGCAGTCTGGAAGCAATATGAGACTCTGCAAGGTCTCATAAAACCCAAATAAATGCAAATTGGGTGACCTATTTGATTAGTTTAGTGGCAGTACTATTTGGATCGCTTTAGCTAGTCTGTGATTGTACTCTTTGCCTTGGCTTGTCATTATTTTTTATTTTTTTTTTTACATTCTATATGTTACAGAGTTATGGCTGTCTTTGGAGGAGCATCAATATGCACTGGAGCTGATCATGAGCAAGTACAGGAGGCAAATGCTGCAGCTAATAGCAAACAAAAAGCCTGCACCCACAGAACCTGTTCTAGAAGCTCACGAAACCTATTCTTCTGTAAGCTCTATGTGCAAAGTAATGTATTGTTTTACTTGAGTATACAGAAGCATTCATGTAATATAGTAAATATTATGTGCTTACTCTATCTCGTTTATAGTATGTGTGATATAATCCTTACTGATCACTCTTGAGTGTATGTGCATGTTTTTCTGAAATTACACCATTAATGATTGGGCACATATCTACCAGTCTATATACAGTGAGGAACAGAAGTATTTGAACACCCTGCGATTTTGCAAGTTCTTCCACTTAGAAATCATGGAGGGGTCTGAAATTCACATTGTAGGTGCATTCCCACTCTGAGAGACAGAATTTAAAAAAAAATTCAGGAAATCACATTGTATGATTTTTAAAGAATGTATTTGTCTTGCACTGCTGAACATAAGTATTTGAACACCTAAGAAACAGCAAGAATTCTGGCTCTCAAAGACCTGTTACTGTGCCTTTAAAAAGTCCACCTCTACTCCACTCATTAATCTAACTTAGTAGCACCTGTCTGAGCTCTTTAAAGACACCTTTACACCCCACAGTCAGTCAGTCGCCAACTACTACCATGGGCAAGACCAAAGAGCTGTCAAAAGACACCAGAGACAAAATTGTGGACCTCCACAAGGCTGAAAAGGGCTACGGGGCAATTGTCAAGCAGCTTGGTGAAAATAGGTCAACTGTTGGAGCAATTTGTTAGAAAATGAAAGAGGCTAAAGATGACTGTCAGTCTCCCTCGGACTGGGGCTCCATGCAAGATCTCACCTCGTGGGGTATCACTGATAAGAAAAGTGAGGAATCAGCTTAGAACTACAAGGGAGGAGTTGGTCAATGACATGAAGAGAGCTGGGACCACAGTTTCAAAGGTCACTGTCAGTAGAACACTACGCCGTCATGGTTTCAAATCATGCATTGCACGGAAGGTTCCCCTGCTCAAGTCATCACATGTCCAGGCCCGTCTGAAGATTGCCAATGACCATCTGGATGATCCAGAGGAGGCATGGGAGAAAGTCATGTGGTCAGATGAGACCAAAGTAGAACTTTTTGGTCTAAACTTCACTCGTCGTGTTTGGAGGAAAAAGGATGAGTTGCATCCCAAGAACACCATCCCTACTGTGAAGCATGGGGGTGGTAACATCATGTTTTGGGGGTGCTTTTCTGCGAAGGGGACAAGATGACTGCACTGTATTAAGGAGAGGATGAATGGGGCCATTTATTTTGAGATTTTGAGCAACAACCTCCTTCCCTCAGTCAGAGCATTGAAGATGGGTCATGGCTGGGTCTTCCAACATGACAACGACCCGAAGCACACAGCCAGGATAACCAAGGAGTGACTTGATAGGAAGCATATCAAGGTTACTCAGCGACAGCCCCGAAACCTGACAGATCTAGAGGAGATCTGTGTGGAGGAGTGGGCCAAAATCCCTGTTGCAGTGCAAACCTGGTCAAGAACTACAGGAAACATTTGACCTCTGTAATTGCAAACAAAGGCTTCTGTACCAAATATTAACACTGATTTTCTCAGGTGTTCAAACACTTATGTTCAGCAGTGCAAGACAAATGAATTCTTTAAAATCATACAATGTGATTTCCTGAATTTTTCTTTTGTAAATTCTGTCTCTCAGAGTGGGAATGCACCTACAATGTGAATTTCAGACCCTTCCATGATTTCTAAGTGGGAGAACTTGCAAAATCGCTGGGTGTTCAAATACTTCTGTTCCTCACTGTACACAATATTTTAAGAATATTTAGCAAGCTATAGGGCATATTTTTGCCTGCTTTAGTTCTGTAGATATTGAGCTTGGCCAGTCTGCTTGCTCAAATCTAGAAAGATTACTAAAAAAATTAGTGCAGTAAACATATAGAAGCCTAAGAACTCGGCCCTCATACCACATTCCATGAATCAAGTTTTCAGTTCTGAAATGGAAAGGTGTTTTGTAGTGTCATTTAGCTATAAAATAGCTTGTATAATAGTTATATATGTTATCAGTTTTTATTGAAAAGCTGAATATTGCCATGTATTTTAGCCTGTTAGCAACATTTACAGAAATCTACAAGTATGTGCAAACCATTCAGGAGGTTTAAGTGATTTTAAACCCTTACTTTGTGAAACAACCTATTCAGTCTAAAATAGAAATGAAAGATAAACATTTCTGTATAGATATAAAAACACTGTGTACCCCTTTTTTTTTTTTTTTTTTTTTCCATTTTTTTTTATAAGTGATTGCATAGCCTCTATTCTCAGCTGCATAAGAGCTGGGGGAAGAGAAACAGCAGCACTCTGAGCTTCCCAGTGAAAGGCTGTGCGGGGAGGGGGGGCAGTTTTCCTTGCTGTGTTGCCTATCCCTCAGTTGAATTGCCTTTGGACATCCAGGAGGTTTAAATCTTATAAATGTGTCCCTCAAAGATTGACAAAAAAAAAGATTTGTACTTGGAGTCCATTGAGGAGCACTCGTCCCACCCCTCTGATCATGCTCTTGGTAATACTTGCTACAAAACAGAGGAATGTTGGTAGTTGTAGTTGCCTGGGGTGGCCTACAGGTTTTTTTTTTTTTTTTTTGTCCAATGCTCCTGTGGGTGGTAGTCAAACCTGAAGGGTTAAGACTCCCTGTGTCCCTCTATAGGCTCAAAGAACAGGACTTTATAGGAAGCACAAATATTCACTACGATAAGGGGTTCATTTATACTGTGAAACTGAACCATAAATATCTTAAAGAAATAATACAATAAAATAAATGTGAACAATGCTAAACAGTGGTGAAATGATGAAACCCCAATGTCCATTAATACATGCTAATCATTGGGGGTTTCACCATCATTTTGCACATTTATTTATTGTATTTCTTTAAGATATTGATGGTAGTAATTTTATTCATTAGAGGACTTGCCCTGTATGCATAATATGCCACTGGGGGGGGGGGGGGGGGGGGGGGTTCCGCCATGCTGGGAAATTCTTATTGTAATTTGTATGTGATTTATTAATGCATTAATTTTTTTACTCATTTTATATGTATATTGAACCACTATTGGGAGAAGGATTCACTTTACTTCAGGGTCCTTAGGAAATTTGTATTTCTTTCAAGATATTTCAAATTGTAGTGAGGTCCCATTGTTTGGCGCACATGTGGTATAGCTGGCTTTTTCACATTTTTTTTTTTGGGTTTGGTTTACAGTAGCATATTTTGTTTTTATATTTTAAGTGTATTCGGCACAATAGAGAGGGTCACACCACCATTGTGCTCGGTGGCTAGCAATTCACATTTTGTTCTTGTATTTCTGTGGTATGTGGGAACACATGAGTGTATAGCAGGAAGCCTTAGACATTGTTATTTTCCACATTTTTTGCATATTGATTTGGATTCAGATCATATAGCACTTAACAGCGCAGTGGAACACATATAGTCTTTTGCAATAGTTATCTATAATATCTATATCCCGAATTCTTGCAGGTGGTATAGCTACCCATTCATCTTTGCAAAATGCCCCCAGGTCATGCAAAGTGTTTGGTTGTCTTGCAGGAACCACACATTTGAGATCTCCCCAGAGTGGCTAGATGATAATAATGGTAGGAGACTGTGATGGCCACTCCAGAATCTTCACCTTTTCTGCTGTAACCACTGGAGGGTCAACTTGGCTTTGTGCTTTATGGTCATTGCCGTGCTGGAAAGTCCAAGAGCGTCCCATGTGCAGCTTTCATGCAGAAGAATGAAAATGTCTGGCAGTATTTTCTGAAAATATGCTGCATTCATCTTGCCATTAAATTTCAAAAGATTCCCTATGCCTTTAGAGCTCACACACCCTCAAAAAATTAGTGAGCCACCACTATGCTTCACAGTGGAAATAGTATTCTTGTCGCTATAGACCTCGTTGACCCCTCTCCAAACAATAGTGCTTATGGTTGTGACCATGAAGCTCTATTTTGGTCTCACCACTCCAGATCCCCCAATTTTCTGACTAGCATGCTCAAGGCTTTGAATACCTTTTTATATTCTTTTCCATTTTTATAAAGTTCCATGACCTTGTTACGCAGGTTGTTTGACAGTTTTTTTCTGCTCCCTGGCTCAGTATATGGCCTGCTCAGTACATCCACCTGAGAGCTAACTAAAACATTAACTATTTATACACAAACACTAATTGCAATTTCAAAAGCCACAGATGTGGAAAATTAACGTGTCTGCGTGTGTGCGTTCGCCAAAGCACTCTTTCTCCAATTTACACCAAGAATAGGGCACTATTCCTCCCCTAATTCCAAAGATGCATTGTTTACTCCCAATGACGCAGGACAATTTCTACTCCCTATGGCCACAGTCTGGCCCCCTAAAGTCTGAAAGCCAATAAACTGGACCTTTGTTTAGAAACTTTGGAGACTCCTGGTGTAAAGGGTGGCGGGGCCTCTGTCATTACGCAAAGGGACAGAGCCTTTGGTGTCCTAGATCAAACGGGACTGGGACTCTGTCATAGCACGAAAGAGGATTGGGGCCTCTAATGTCATAGCAGCAAAGGGGGTGGGGACTCAGATGTCATAGCGGAAAAGGGGGTGGGGATGTCTTGATCGAACCAATTTTCAGACCGTGTATGTGGTTTTCATTCAGAAATTACATTCATTTTAAAGTCATTGTAAAAGTAGAATTGGCTGTTGATGGACCTTAGCCATGAAGTCAGAGAAAATCTTGCCCTAGTAGTGAAGTAGAAATCAAAGAGGGGGCACAGAAGAGGCTTTGTTTGTTTATAAGGCTACCTTCACGCTGCTCTGTATTAAAAATACATTTTGCTTTTTTTTTTCCTGTGTTGCATTAAATTAAACGCAATGCATGATGCGTTTTTGGCGCATTTGTTTTCTTTTTTGCCATGTTTCTGTTGCTTTTTCCCATATCAATTCCCATTATTCCAATGCGATTTTCTTGCAATCTCCAATGCACCTATGCAGTGCAAATTGCCTGTAACTTTCATGCAATTTCAATGCGAGTTTAGAAGGCGCATCAGCATAGGTAGCATGCATTGCAACCTTTGTGACTTTAACCGCTTCCCGACCGCCCTATAGCAGATATACTGCTACAGGGGTGGCACTGTTGCACAATTCACGGCTGTCAATCACCTGGTCCCGGCCGGTGATTACTCACTGGCGCCTTCTGATTGCCAAGCATCTCCAACGGGGAGTAGAACTGTTTGTAAACAAAACAATTGTCCTCCCTGTCAGCTCGTGCACACTGCTTTGAATGGCTGTGCACAGCACAGCCATCCAAAGCAGTGTGATTACAGTGAAGCACACAGACACATGACAGAGTGAAACAGCACACAGTTAACCCTTTGATCACCCCTCATGTTAACCCCAGTGCCATTAGCACATTTTTTTTAACACAAATCACTGTATTGGTGTCACTGGGAATGTCAGTGACACCAAGCCAGTTCCGCCCAGTGTCAGAATGCCAGCCACAGTCCCGATATAAGTCGCTGATCGCCGTCATTACTAGTAAAATAAAAAAAAAAAATTCCAGTATCTATACCGTCATTTGTAAACTCTATAACTTTCATGTAAACCAATTAATTTACATGTACTGGATTTTTTTTTTTTTTTTTTTTAGCAAAGACGTAGCAGAATACATTTTGGCCTAAATTTTATGAAATTTGATTTTTAACATTTTTTTACAGGACATGCTTACTAGCAAAAAGTCAAAAATGTTTTTTTTTTTTCTCAAAATTGTCGGTATTTATATTTTTTAATAGTGCAAAAAATAAAAACCGCATAAGTGATCAAATACCACAGAAAGAAAGCTGAATTTGTGGGAAAAAAAGGACGTAAACTTAATTTGGGTTGCATGACCACGCAATTGTCAGTTAAAGTAACACGACGCTATAAAGCAAAAAATGGCCTGATCAGGAAGGGGGATAAATCCTCAGGAGGGCCAGTGGTTAATAGATGAGTGTTTTTTTTTTTTTTTTTTGTTTTGTTTTTTTAACCTTTTACCTTTCCTCCCCTGTCATCCTTGCTGCCTAAAGCTAGGTTCACACTGAAGTGGTTTTTATCCTTCCTCCAATTGATCGATCCTTTCTATCAATCAGTCGAAGGAAGGGTCAATTGATATATCAGACGAAGTTTGGATCCAAGGAAGGAGCTTTATCAAAATCAATGGATGAAAGATGGCCAGGGAGGAGAAGTGAGGGTTAGAAAAAAATAAACCCTTATCCATCAAAGTCGCATTGGAATTCTTCAATGTTGATGCGACTTTTGTGAGCTAAAATAGATGTCTGTGGGGCTGAAATTGCACTGACGTCCACCAGGAACCTTTTCCAAAATCTCACTGTGCTGAGTCGAATTGATTAGAAGGGCACCATTGAATATAATGTGATTTCCCTTTTATCATGCGATTCTGTGAACCTGGACTTGAGCACTTCCCACAGATGTGTTGCATTTATTACAGGTACTTATATAGTGCTGTCAATTTATACAGTGCTTTGCATATATAGTATACATTCACATCAGCTCCTAACCCTCAAGAAGCATACAATCTAGGGTCCCTAACTCACAGTCATACATATACATACTAGGGCCAATTTAGACAGGATCCAATTAACCCCACCAGCATGTCTTTGGAGTGTGGAAGGAAACCCATGCAGGCACAGGGAGAACATACAAGCTTCAGGCAGGTAGTGTGGTGATTGGAATTCAAACCAACCACCCTAATGCTGTTGGGTGGAAGTGCTAAACATCACAAACAAACAAAGGATTTGTCAGGAACACTTACCAGCCAGCTTGCAAAACAACCAATTTGGCTCTGTCTAACAGTTTGCATTAAAACAGAGGGTTTTGATTGCACACTTTTGCAAATACATGTGTAAGCTGCAGTCCCACATCAAGGGTCCTCTGTGTACTGTGGACCTAATTCTAAAATTTCCAAAGCCTCCATAGTAGGAGCACATATATCAATGGATAGCTTAAGGGCAGATGTACCTAGAGGAGCCCAGTTATAGCAAAATGACAGCAAAGGCATTCAGTGTATCTTTGCATCCAATTCAGTCAACTGTACAAAAAGAATGGCAACTGTCTCAACTTATTACCAGCTAGTGCTAAACATTTTGATGCAGTTTCCATTCCTTGCAATAGAGGGATGCATTTTTGGTGTGTTGTGGTTTTTTTTTTTTTTTTCACCGGACCAAATATTCACCAAAAATACAAAAATACAGAACTTTGAAAAACGCAATACACCTGCAACTGACCAGTGTGAAGAGTTCCATAGGATTAAAAGGCTAGGTTCACACCTGTGCTGGCATGATTTTCTGTGGTGCATTAAAACACGCATGCGTTCCTGCACCTCACCTGGTGTGAATGAGCCCTAACAGTTCACTTTAAGTTTAGGATTATTGCCCATCTAATTAAAGTGGAACTTTAGGTAATAAAAAAAAAAAAAAAAAAGAGTACAGGCAGGATTTTTAATGAAGAAGAGACATGCTTTCTCTTCTGCATTAAAGCTACCTTACTTGCTTGCCCACCCCTGTATAGTGAGCTGTAATGCAATGCCGAATTTAATGTCATGCCTACCCAGCCAATGACAGTGGCCGGCGTTTGGGACCTGGAAGCTGGTCGCCCGAAGACGCTGCGCGGGAAGCTTTGGGAACGAGCATTGTGGGATTGGATGTGAGCACAGCTCCGCTTTAAGGAAGGATTCAGCAGCTAATGCAGAAGCAAGACTAGCACACACAAGTTTTACTTGTTTTAATCTTTTCTCCAGCTGAGCTGTGTGCTAAATAGGTTGTATTTCACTAAAAAGTTTTTGCAAGTGTGTGATGTTTGTTCAAACTATGTGCTTTTCTGTTAAAGGATATAGAGAGACACATTGACAGGATATGTACTATGGGAGAAGTCATGAGACAAGCCATCCAGATCGATGAGGATCAGGCATACAGCATTCAAGAAAGACTCGCCCAACTAGAGGTAAGAGGGGTTTCTTCCTTAATATATGCAGTACATCTCTGCAACACATGAACATCTCATCTCCCTATTTTTTATCACTTTAAAGCCATGAGAAGAGCTAGGAGGTCTAGATATCCTATTTTTATATAACAAAGGAAGTGAGTAGTGGACATAGGGCAGCTCTGAATTTCTGACAAAATCAACAGGATTTTTTTTTTCTCTTATCAAGCAGATACAGTATAACAAAATGCTTCTAATGGTAGATTTAAAAGTCCAAAAGAGCACGTTCTTAGCATTTACATTCTAAAACGAATTTCTTCTTACCCTGCCCTCCCCGCTGCGCACACACACACAACATTCTCTTTTAAATTGAAGATTTTTTTTTTTAAATAGTTTTAGGCATTTACTGTGCTGCAAATCAGTACTTCCGTAGTTTTAATCTAGGTAAGAGTGATATCTGGGCCTCAGCTTCTGTGTGTACACAGATGTTCTGCAGGACTTCATGTCACAGCTTCCTGCGGCACATCTATGCAGGTGTGCAGAAATGGGTAGCAAGGAGCTCACAAACTTTCTAGTCTCTGCGCATGTTTGACAAATACCCTGCGCATGCACAAACGACTTTACCAGGACCCTCGGCATATCTGTGCACATGCTCATACTGGCAGTGCTGGGCGGTTGGAGCCACACAGAAAACATTTGAATGTTATTGTAAAAAAAAAAAAAGATGCTCTGGAAATGATTATTTGCACATTTAGTATAGAAGACTGGTAATTGTACCTTTTTTCTGTTTGTGGAGGGAGCAGAAAGAGCTTTATATGTGCATGGTTGTATTGTGCTAGAAATGACAGCTGTTGATTAAGAAACCAGTTGGTGTTTTGCTTACAAGCCTCCTTGCTTAGTGTTTTAGCAGCTGCATCAAACATTGGTTAGTGTTAGAGACAACCGTATACAGCAATCTTCACAAATGACCGAGTAGCATAGTTTATACTAGAACTACAGAACTTCCTGACCCAAAAGGGCCCTCCTACCAGCAACAAGACTGTCTTGCTTCAGTCTGAAATGTTTCATGAAGTAGGTGTATCCATTGAGATGAGATCAGGCCACCAGGTGGAGTATATTGTGTGTAATATATATATATATATATATATATATATATATATATATATATATATATATATATATATATATACATACACACATCCATCCAATCCCACAATGCGCGTTCCCAAAGCTGTTCTTGGGCAGGCCAGTGACAAGACCACTTTACATACCAAAAGGGCTCCCTACTATGTTAATGTATGCAGGAGGTAATTACCTTTTGTTGTGTTGGGTTAACCTGTTTTTATGTAAATATATGGAGAGCAGGTTATTTGCAAACAGATTGGGAAAAGTCTTAAATATTCATGATGTGCTTGTTTAAAGACAGCAGATTTGCCATAAACAAGACAAGTAGTATCTATTTAACTTTTTAATTAAAATTTATGCATACAGCTATTCTAGGACCAGACACATAAGATCAAAGGGGCTCCTAAAACTGGCCAATCAGAGTGCTTGCCATTGTACTGAATGGGGGAAATGTGTATATTAACACAGGACACAAAACACAGGGACACAGGAAGGTTATCTGAAGAGTTCTAATGATTACCTGTCACCTTACTTGTCTGTGCCTCAGCGGGAAAGAGAGTTTTTTTTCCTGTCATTAATATGGAAGCACAGGTATAGATCATAACTCGCATTATTGCATGCATGGAAGCTACCTAGGTGCATATTATAGATTAGACGTATGCTGGACGGTGTAGTATCTCCATGTTTGATATGAAGTATCTTAAATGGGACTTTGAGGGTTGTTGTTCATTGTAATCTTTACAAATATTTGGCTGGATTTCTGTCATCTGTAACAAATATCTTTATCCGAATAAATGCATCTCTCTGGAAAAGGACTATTGGTTGTTGCGGGAAAAGTACATATATAAATATACACTGGTCATACGTCCTCCATTATTGATATAAGGCCACAGATGTATGAACTGTTTCTATGTGGACCTCATATATGAGAAGACAACACCAGGGATGTTAAAAAAAAAAAAAAAAAAAAAAAAGTTCCTTTAAGAAGGCGTGTTTATGTAATCTTCTTCTATAGTACTGTGCAAGAGTTTTAGCCAGGTGTGAGAAATGCTGTTGTAAAGTAACAATGCTTTCAAAAATACAGCGGGTAAAATAAGCATTGAACACATCACTATTTTTCTCAGTAAATATATTTCTAAACGCAATCCATACTTACAAAGAAACCATAACAAATAAGTTTGGAAATTAAGTTATGTAACAAAATGGAATGACACAGAGAAAAAGTATTGAAAAAACGAACTGAAATTTATTTAATACTTCGTAGAAAATCATTTGTTGGTAATGACAGCTTCAAGACACCTCCTGTATGGAGAAAGTACTCCCATGCATTGCTCGGGTGTGATTGTGGCCATTCTTCAACACAAACAGTCTTCAAATTTTGCAGGTTCCGTGGGCCTAATCTATGAACTCTGACCTTTTAGTTCTTTCCATAGATTTTCTTGGATTTAAGTCAGGTGATTGGCTGGGCCATTCTAGCAACTTTGTTTAAATTTTTTTGAAGCCAATTGAGAGCTTCCTTGGCTTTGTGTTTGGGATCATTGTCTTGCTGAAAATGTCCAGCCTTGTTTAATCTGCATCATCCTGGTAGATGGCAGCAGACTTTTATCAAGAATTGCTTGGTACATTTTTCCATTCATCCTTCAATCACATGAAGTTTGCCAGTACCATATACTGAAATACAGCCCCACACCATGATGTTCCCACCTCAAACCTCACTGTTGGTATGGTGTTTTTGGGGTGATGTGGCGTGTCATTTGACCTCTAAACATGGTGTGTATTATTGCATCCAAAGAGTTCAATTTTGGTCTCATCAGAGACCAGACTATATTCTCCCAGTATTTCACAGGCTTGTCTAAATGTTGTGCAGCAAACTTAAAACAAGCTTCAGCATGCTTTTTCTTTAGCAGTGGAGTCTTATGTGATGAGAGTGCATACAGGCCATGGTGGCTGAGTGCATTACTTATTGTTTTCTTTGAAACAATTGTACCTGCTAATTCCAGGTATTTCTGAAGCTCTCCACAAGTGGTCATTGGCTCTTGGACAACTCTTCTGATAATTCTTTTCACTCCTCTGTCCTCTTCTTGCGAGGAGCACCTGGTCGTGGCTGGTTTATGGTGAAATTATGTTCTTTCTGCTTCCGCATTATGGCCCCAACTGTGCTTACTGGATGCCATCAGTATGTTTTGCAACCATAAGTTTGTGAAGGTCTTGAGAGAGCTCTTTACTTTTACCCATCATGAGATGTTTCTTGTGTGACACCTTGGTAATGAGATACTTTTTTTTTATTTATAGGCTTTCAGTTGAGGCTGAATCAGCTGATATTAATTTGCGCTGATATTAATTTGCACTGACAAGGGGCTGGATTGCTTTCTAATTACTGATAGATTTCAGCTGGTGTCTTGGCGTTCCAAGCAGTTTTTCACCTCCCTTTCTTCATGTGTTCAATACTTTTTTTTTTCCCCTGTGTCATTCCATTTTATTACACATGATTAATTTCTGAACTTATTTGTTTTGGTTTCTTTGTATGGATTGCATGGGCTATTACTGACATGTGGTGAAAATTTCATGTCAATACCTTTAGAAATATATTTAGCTAGAAAAATTGTGATGCTTTCAATACCTATTCTACCAGCTGTATATATTTTAATTGTTTGTTTTTATTTTTATCAATTTATAAAATGCAAAGTAAGCAAACAGAAGAAAATCTAAATCAAATCAATATTTGGTGTAACTACTCCTTAGCTTCAAACCAGCATCAGTTCTTACATGATTATGATTAACCAATTATACCAAGCAGGTGCTAATAATAATCAATTTCATATGTAGGCTGAAACACAGGCATTAACTGAAACAGAAACCGTTGTGTACAGTGCCTTGAAATAGTATTCATACCCCGTTAAAATTTTCCACATTTTGTCATGTTACAACCAAAAACGTAGATGTATTTTATTGGGATTTTATGTTGTAGACCAACACAAAGTGACACATAATTGTGAAGTGGAAGGAAAATGATACATGGTTTTCAAAATTTTAGCATAGGGAGGTTTTGGGGTTTTACCGCCTTCTGAGTTAGAGAGAGCCCAGGCCAAAATTAGCAGCATGAACTTGCGTTAGCAATAATTGTATATTCTTTTTTAATTGTATATAAGGCTTTTATTTGGTACACTGAATACAAATCTGTTCTGTGTTTTTTTTTTTTTTTTTTTTTTTAGTATATTAATATATATATATTTTTCCATGTTTTGGTGCTTTTATTTTTAATAATGTGATCTAATAATTATAATACTGCATTACGCTAGGTACTGCAGATAAGCAGTGTCACGTAGTACGGTTACATTCAGGCTGCAGTCCTAATCTGCAGCATCTTAGGTGTAATGCTCATTACTCACTAATGATTAGGAACCATACCACATAGTTAGTATGGCTTAAAAATAGACAAAAGTCCATCCAGTTCAACCAGACAAAAGTCCATCCATAAGAAAAAAAAAAAGTTCTAATCCTATACCCACAGTTGATCCAGTGGAAGGCAAAAAAAATCCAGCAAAGCATGATGCAATGTGCTCCAGCTGGGAAAAAAAATTCCTTCCTGATCCCCCAAGAGGCAATCTGATATTCCCTGGATCAACTTTACCTATAAATGTTAGTATCCAGTTATATTCTGTGTATCTAAGAAAGAATCCAGGCCTTTTTTAAAGCAATCCACTGAGCTGGCCAGAACCAACTCTTGAGGGAGTCTATTCCACATTTTCACAGCTCTCACTGTGAAGAAACCTTTCCATGTTTGGTGATGAAATTTCTTTTCCTCCAGACGTAAAGAGTGCCCCCTTGTCCTCGGTGTAGAGTTATTCACCCTGAGGTCATCATAGAGTTCACTATATGAAGCACTGATGTATTTATACATGTTGATCATATCCCCCCTTAATCTCCTCTTCTCAAGAGAATAAATTCAGTTCCTCTAAACATGAGCATGATTAAGAACCAGGCTGGCTGATCATTATGGGGACCCTCAGCTGCAGTAAGTGTTGGTTGGTTGCTCTCAAGGGAAAAACGTTTATAACTATACACCTGTGATGGGGGATGTTTTATATAACATTGGTAGGTGGGAAGGGGTTAAAGTATCAGTGTAAAAGCTGTCCTCAACCATTCTCTGTCGTTTTTAATTTATTATTTTAATTCTGTGTTGCTTTGCTTCTCTTTATTCTTTACTTTCTTTATGCTATGCTGCAAGGCAAACCGTGTTCAAGCAACTTAATATAGCCAGTATTACTAGACCGAGAAAGCTCTGTGCAGTGACTTTGAACAGAAGAGCCCTGGTACTCTTCTTCTCAGGACCCCTGCCAGTACTCCCCCCGCCGAGTCCCCCCCAAAGCAAGCTACTTCCTATGGTGGTCACTTGTGCGGGCTCACTTGTGAGCTGCATCTGTGTATCTACAAGACACACACACGGCGTGGCTTAGCCCCCTCCCCACTCCCTCCTCACAGACTCTGATTGACAGTGGCGGGAGCCAATGGTCCATGCTGCTGTCTTTAAGCCAAGTGAAGAAGTGAGAAAATATAGTAGAATGCATGAAGGTAAAAAAACCTTCTGCCTTTACAACCACTTTAAAGTGGTTGTAAATGCTTACATATACACAATGGAGTGATTGGCCTCAGGCGATACACATCTTACATACAGTAAGTTGTACCTGTTTTTTATATATATATATATATATATATATATATATATATATATATATATATATATATATATATAGCAATCTTTCCCCTACATCCATTCAGAGTGCAGAATTTACACAGGATCTCTCTGCTCTAAAAAGCATGGGGCAGGGAGCTGAAGTTACATCAGTCAGCAGAACTCTGAGAACTGATTGGAAGGAAGGGACACCCCCACCCCCCTTCAGACAGCTCAAAGGAACAGAGCTAAGGCTGTCAATCACAGGCTGTGCCCTCCCTTGTCACCATTTTTTTCTTGGAGTCAGGAGAACTCGTCAGAAGTGACTCATGCTGATAGCAGAGGAACAAGTCAGCAAAGAGAAATGACACTTGGTACTCTTGATTGAGACAAGTCAGCAATCCGCGGGTTCTATAGTGTGTAGATTGCCTGGGATTGCCAACCTGCCACCACATGCAAAGGATGAAGGTGCAGAGGAACTACTTCCAGGCATGTAACGCAAGCCATGGAGGGAGTAGAGCTGCAGCGGCAGCAGTTTCATGGAGGCATCAGCCAGGAACACAAGCTGATGCCTCTTCTAAAGTTCCAGCAGCAATGTCAGGTGGAGCGATAACAACAGCACTCCACCTCTTAATCCTAGTAGCGGCAGGATCCACAGCATTAAGCAGCACTGCATGCAAGGTCAGTATCAGTGGGCTTAATGGATAAGTTCACCTTTGGGAACGTGTTACATGTTCCACTCATTTTTAGGGTGGAACATGTAACATGTTCCCAATGCTGCAGCCGCGCCCACCTCCCTCCTCCCTCTGACAGATAATACGAGGACTTCTGTGAATGAATGAACTGCAAGTCCTGACAGCCTTAGTGGCTGTTTGCTTGTAGTTTTGAAAGAACGGCGCTGTGGAACACTGTGGTAGTTCATTCAAGCTTCCTGTCAGAATATCTGTTTGGCCATATATCCTGTAGGGCAAGCAGATATTCTGACAGGTCTGCAGGAGACCTGCATGGCATCAGTGATCTACTGATCGCTGTTGCAATGCTTTCCAGGCTTCATTGGACAAGGGAGCAGCTGGTCAATGACATGAAGAGAGCTGGGACCACAGTTTCAAAGGTCACTGTCGGTAGAACACTATGCCGTCATGGTTTCAAATCATGCATTGCACAGAAGGTTCCCCTGTTCAAGTCACCACATGTCCAGGCCTGTCTGGATCATCCAGATGGTCATTGGCAAACTTCAGAGGAGGCATGGGAGAAAGTCATGCCTCCTCTGGCATGGTCTAAACTTCATTCGTCTTGTTTGGAGGAAAAAGGATGAGTTGCATCCCACGAACACCACCCCTACTGTGAAGCATGGGGGTGGTAACATCATGCTTTGTGGGTGCTTTTCTACGAAGGGGACAGGACGACTGCACTGTATTAAGGAGAGGATGAATGGGGCCATTTATTGTGAGATTTTGAGCAACAACCTCCTTCCCTCAGTCAGAGCATTGAAGATGGGTCGTGGCTGGGTCTTCCAACATGACAACGACCCGAAGCACACAGCCAGGATAACCAAGGAGTGGCTCCGTAAGAAGCATATCAAGGTTCTGGAGTGGCCTAGCCAGTCTCCAGACCTAAATCCAATAGAACATCTTTGGAGGGAGCTGAAACTCTGTGTTGCTCAGCGACAGCCCCGAAACCTGACAGATCTAGAGGAGATATGTGTGGAGGAGTGGGCCAAAATCCCTGTTGCAGTGTGTGCAAACCTGGTCAAGAACTACAGGAAACGTTTGACCTCTGTAACTGCAAACAAAGGCTTTTGTACCAAATATTAACACTGATATTCTCAGGTGTTCAAATACTTATGTTCAGCAGTGCAAGACAAATAAATTCTTTAAAAATCATACAATGTGATTTCCTGAATTCTCTCAGAGTGGGAATGCACCTACAATGTGAATTGCAGACCTCTCCATGATTTCTAAGTGGGAGAACTTGCAAAATCGCAGGGTGTTCAAATACTTCTGTTCCTCACTGTATATATACACATTTTTTAACTTGTGCATTTATTATTTTTGTCCAAAAGGTGAACTTATCTTTTGAGGATACTGGACACAATAGGATTTTTTATGGGCACAGTATCAGTTATATAGGCACAGTAGCATCTTTATGCAATTGTATCCATATAGCTGCTATTGTGCCCATATAGTTGCTGTTGTGCATCTATATGGACACAATAGCATATTATATGGACACAAGTTCAATAAATATGTTCCAGTGACAACTCAACATTTTTCAATTTCAGTCTCTGTTACCATGTACAAAGCACAAATGGTGAGTGAATCATCCTAACAGGGACAGGAATAAACACCTTGCAGAGTTTCTAAACCTTCACTACACTATCCATAACTGAAAAAACAATATTTGACTCCAAAAAACATGCATTTTCTGAATTCAGTTGTGTATAAAATATTTTCCTTGCATTCATGTTTCAAAGTAAATTTATATTTGCTATTTTTTTATAGTTGGAAAACAAGGAACTTCGGGAAATCTTATCTGTTAGCAAGGAGTCACTGCATTCAGGAAAGAAAGAATCTGACTGGAATTCATTAGAGAAAACTCAGTGATACCCTTCAGACCATATCCTTTGCACAATACATTCACTGGACACGCCACAGTAAAAGGAACCATTTCTATTATGCTCTGTACCCAGCTGCATTAGCCTAGGTACAGCACTGCAGGGAAAGTGAGTATATACTGCAGTGGAAAGTATGAAGATGTTAATGGATGTCCGCTGGCTTCAGTGTATGTGAGTCTCTGTTTCACAATTGCAGTGCTTTAAGAGAAAAGGTCCACAACCTGCTCTGAAATCACTTGGACTTTGCTTTCAGTTTTGTCTTATGGAAAAACTATAAAATGTAGATGTTTTATTTAAATAAGTTAAAAAATAGAACTATATGTATGAATAAAAAATCCTCCTGAATGATCATGTGGCATTCTTTTCATGTTCACACTTACTCCTTTTGTATTCTAGTATATATGTGGCCTGAAATATGCTGTTCTGTAAAGATTTATAACTGTGACTTACTCATGCTGCCTGACAGCACATTTTATATATTGTAGGAATTAATACAGTACACCTTTCCAGCGCAATGTAAGGACAGGGGAATATAGGCAAGTTGAAACTGCACACACATTTGGTCTTTAAAAATAATACCATAGTCTTCCCTCCCAAGGTATAGTACATCAAACGTAGCACAGATTTTGTACAAAAATATTGACAAAAACCCCACGCCAATATACCTGAATATCAAACCCCCAAAAGCTAACTAAGCTGCCACCCCAAAGTGATATAAACCACCATAAATGTATAACGCAGAGGAGGCGCTAACTATCTCGAGCAAAGTTTTATATAGCATCAATTCCAATAGTTCATAAATGCAAAAATTAGTTTAAACATATTTACATAGTTCAGTCTAATATACAAACAAACTGTGCAATAGACAATCTTATTGTGCATGTAAACATAAATAGTAGTGTCCATAAATCATCCAATTGAATCCAAAGGAACTGTAAGTCCACAATGTTGTATGGTGTAAAAAAACCTTCACTGCGTCATATCCATACATCACTCAGTGGTATGGTATAACTAAATAACTCACCAGATGTACATGACCTCTTTAATTAAAAAGGTCAGCTGCACTTGTCAATATCTCTATGGATAGAGAGACGCTTAACTTGTGATGAATGCTCCTATCTCCTCAGAAGCTTCCACAGTATACACACCGGACCCAATGATAGAAATTGCATATAGTGTAGTACGTTTATTAAACAACGGGTAAGACAAAAGTAAAATGCTCACATTAAAAAGTGCTTACACATCACACTAGATGTAACCGCATATAAAAAACCAACACCGCCGTGTTCCGGCGTGCGTTCCAGCACCAGAAATTGCTGTAACTGGAAGTCAACGATCGGAAGTCTCACCTCCAACGCGTTTTTGTCACTCTGACATCATCAGGAAGCACTCCAGCGGCCATCTTAATGGTGTCTTATATAAGGCTCATCAGCGCACAGCCTGGCACACCATGACAACTTCCTTGTACCAAAAAAAGTTGTTCTGCATTGCAATAACCAGACCCTCCAAAATGAATTCGATCTGGGTGGCCCGAATATCGGAAAAGGATTGAAGGGCCCATATTGTAGCTTTAAAAGCATCCCCTTGTAATATCTTAGTATATAAGGATTCTACATCAATAATAACCAACATACTACTTTCGCTTACTTTGATATTTTTTAGTTGATGAATAACATCCATACTATCTTTAAGATATGAGGGTCCCAATCTAGCAAGGGGTTGCATATAAAAATCTAAGTACTCCCCCAATCTAGAATGTAAAGAGTTGATGCAGCTCACAATGGGGTGTCCTGGTGGTAATTCCTTATGTTTTGTGTACCTTCGGGACATGATAAATAACAGGGATTCTGGGGAATTGTGAGATTAGATATTTGGCTTCCTTTTTAGTTAGTATACCTGTTAGTCCCTTTCTTAACCCGATCTTTCAATTTACTTGTTAAATGTGGTGTTGGGTCTCCTCTAAGTTTTTTGTATGTACTGTCATCTCCCAGTAACGTCGTCCTTTCACAATCATAATGTTCTTTAGTGAGGATAACAAGACCCCCCCCTTTTGGCTGTCGGTCTCAAAGCTATGTGCTTTTTTTTTTTTTTTTCTCTAGTTGTCTGATCTCATCCCATATTTGTTTGTTTTTCCTAGATTTCCAAACTTTTAGTTGCCTAATCTCCCCTTGTATTGGTTGGCTACTGATTTAGGGTTAAAAACTGACTTGTTTTTGAGTCCACTATGTTTATTCTTTATTTATTGTTTGTCTGGAGCAAACTTCAAAGCTTGCTTTAACATGTCTTATTTTTCAACTGAAAATGGGACATCTGTAAGATTAAATAGGCCTGTTTCTACAGTTGCATCTTTTTCTTCCTTCCTCCTCTACACTCCTTCTTCTTGTAGACGACGTTCCATATGTTTCGTATTGGGAAGACTTCTGTAGGGTTCTTTCCACTGTTACCATTCCCCCCCCCCCCCCCCCGCTGATAATACTTTTGGTATGAGGCTGGTCGGCCCTATAGCCTCCTCTAGGCCTACCTCTCGAGGGGTCTGGAATTAGGATAGCCTTTATAGGCAGTATTGTTGCTCCCAAAATGTGTTTCCTCATTCAATTGGGAGTACCTATTTTGTGCGGGAACATTGTAGAAAGTTGTTACCTGTTCCCCATTGTAGCCTCTATGTGGATACTTAAAAGGAGGGGGCCTAGTAGCATACATGCCCCTCTGTAAGGGGGGCCCATGTTGCGTTTTATTTTGATTAAGTTGGCCCATTTTGTCTCTAACCTACTGTGTCACCACTTCCCTACTTATGGATGATTCTTTGGACAATAGAGTGTCCAAGTTATCCTGCGATTTATAAACTTTTTTTTCTTTCTAGAAACATATCAGAGCATGGTGGGACATAGTTAGGCTAGAAAGATATATAAGAGAGGACCTCAACCCAATAAGGTTGAGATGGGATCTAGGTCCTAATGATGGCCTAGATCAGTGGTTCTCAACCTTTCTAATGCCGCGACCCTTTAATACAGTTCCTCATGTTGTGTTGACCCCAACCATAAAATTATTTTCGTTGCTACTTCATAACTGTAATTTTGCAGTGGGAGGAGTAGTGCCACGTCATTGGTGCCAGTGGGAGGAATAGTGCCCCATCATTAATGCCAGTGGGAGGAATAGTGCCCCATCATTGGTGCCAGTGGGAGGAATAGTGCCCCATCATTGGTGCCAGTGGGAGGAATAGTGCCCCATCATTGGTGCCAGTGGGAGGAATAGTGCCCCATCATTGGTGCCAGTGGGAGGAATAGTGCCCCATCATTGGTGCCAGTGGGGGGAATAGTGCCCCATCACTGGTGCCAGTGGGGGGAATAGTGCCCCATCACTGGTGCCAGTGGGGGGAATAGTGCCCCATCACTGGTGCCAGTGGGGGGAATAGTGCCCCATCACTGGTGCCAGTGGGGGGAATAGTGCCCCATCACTGGTGCCAGTGGGGGGAATAGTGCCCCATCACTGGTGCCAGTGGGGGGAATAGTGCCCCATCACTGGTGCCAGTGGGGGGAATAGTGCCCCATCACTGGTGCCAGTGGGGGGAATAGTGCCCCATCACTGGTGCCAGTGGGGGGAATAGTGCCCCATCACTGGTGCCAGTGGGGGGAATAGTGCCCCATCACTGGTGCCAGTGGGGGGAATAGTGCCCCATCACTGGTGCCAGTGGGGGGAATAGTGCCCCATCACTGGTGCCAGTGGGGGGAATAGTGCCCCATCACTGGTGCCAGTGGGGGGAATAGTGCCCCATCCTGGTGCCAGTGGGGGGAATAGTGCCCCATCACTGGTGCCAGTGGGGGGAATAGTGCCCCATCATAGGTGCCAGTGGGGGGAATAGTGCCCCATCATAGGTGTCAGTGGGGGGGAATAGTGCCCCATCATTGGTGTCAGTGGGGGGGAATAGTGCCCCATCATTGGTGCCAGTGGGAGGAATAGTGCCCCATCACTGGTGCCAGTGGGGGGGGAATAGTGCCCCATCATTGGTGTCAGTGGGGAGGAATAGTGCCCCATCATTGGTGTCAGTGGGGGGAGGAATAGTGCCCCATCATTGGTGCCAGTGGGGGGAGGAATAGTGCCCCATCATTGGTGCCAGTGGGAGGAATAGTGCCCCATCATTGGTGCCAGTGGGAGGAATAGTGCCCCATCATTGGTGCCAGTGGGAGGAATAGTGCCCCATCATTGGGTGCCAGTGGGAGGAATAGTGCCCCATCATTGGTGCCAGTGGGAGGAATAGTGCCCCATCATTGGTGCCAGTGGGAGGAATAGTGCCCCATCATTGGTGCCAGTGGGAGGAATAGTGCCCCATCACTGGTGCCAGTGGGAGGAATAGTGCCCCATCATTGGTGCCAGTGGGGGGAATAGTGCCCCATCATTGGTGTCAGTGGGGGGAATAGTGCCCCATCATTGGTGTCAGTGGGGGGAATAGTGCCCCATCATTGGTATCAGTGGGTAGGAATAGTGGTAGGAATAGTGCCCCATCATTGGTGCCAGTGGGGTAGGAATAGTGCCCCATCATTGGTGTCAGTGGGGAGGAATAGTGCCCCATCATTGGTGTCAGTGGGGAGGAATAGTGCCCCATCATTGGTGCCAGTGGGGAGGAATAGTGCCCCATCATTGGTGCCAGTGGGGAGGAATAGTGCCCCATCATTGGTGCCAGTGGGAGGAATAGTGCCCCATCATTGGTGCCAGTGGGAGGAATAGTGCCCCATCATTGGTGCCAGTGGGAGGAATAGTGCCCCATCATTGGTGCCAGTGGGAGGAATAGTGCCCCATCATTGGTGCCAGTGGGAGGAATAGTGCCCCATCATTGGTGCCAGTGGGGGGAATAGTGCCCCATCATTGGTGCCAGTGGGGGGAATAGTGCCCCATCATTGGTGTCAGTGGGGGGAATAGTGCCCCATCATTGGTGTCAGTGGGGGGAATAGTGCCCCATCATTGGTATCAGTGGTAGGAATAGTGCCCCATCAT